AAAAAAAAAAAAAAAAAAAAAAAAAAAAAAGATGGAGAACAGAGAAATGGAAAACCACTCTGCCATATGGTTATTTGACGTTTCTGTGCAACTGCCAGGGAAATTGGTTAAAACAAAACAAACAAACAAACAAAAAAACATCAAGGCAGAAATTGTGCCAGCAGAGAGAAAAGTCCAAATACAGAGATGAGATTCTTCCTCTGTCCTTGCTGCAGACATAAATTAATCAAGACATGGCACAGACGTTAGGAGGCTATTATATTTCCAGAGCCTGAGCCATGAGCACCATGGAGAAGAAGTTGGGAAAGGATCCTCAGAACTCGTCAGCTTTAGATGTGCAGGCACCATTTCATCTATTTTTCATCTGTATCTCTAGTATATATTCGCTCTATCAATTCTCTTTTGCAGTGTTTGCTGATAGTAATTCAAGCACTAGAAAAGCAAACTTTTAGAGGTTTTGTTTTTCTCTTTCTTTCGCTCGATCTTCTTCCTTTCAGCTCCGATCTTCTTCCTTTCCCACGTCTCCTCCTTCACACTCTGTGGTGTCCCCAATGAAATTCAGCTCATTTACCGATCTGGGCTGCACTGTAATTTGGGTTGGCAAACACTGCAGAGTTATAAGAACCATCTAATTTTTTCCTCCTTTGCATCAGTCCATCTTCTATTTACTTATCACCTCAAGTGTTTAAAGTCCAGTAAGAGCTCATATAAATTTACTAAACCTCTCTGGCTCTTTTTCTTTTCCTTTAAAAAAGATGTTATTTTAAATTGTTCTTTCAGTTTCTTCTGATTTTCAGAATATTTCCTTAGGGCTCTCATTATTTGGATCTCCCATTGACTTAATCTTCTCCACAGCAAAGTGCTTGGAATTTCTTTGGCTTTAAGCTGGCACATTAATTACTTGCCTAGCCTTAAAGGATTTAGGATAGAGCCTCTTCCAGTGGACTTACTGTTTGAGTTGCTTCCACAGTAGCAAAGAAAGCATATCTGGTCTCCTCTGTGGAAAGCAATCTACCCCCTACCAGCAGCTCAGCTTTTAGCCATAGCAGCGCAAGCCCTGTTGCAGCTGGGGGACATTAACAGCAAGAGGGACAGCAGTGTAATGGCTCCATCTAAGATGAAGACTTCTCTTCCATACCTTCTAACTCCAGGTCACGCCCAGGAAGGGGCATGGCAGAACCCACACCAGTTCCCTACTCTGCCTTGGCCTCCTCTGGCCAACTCTAATTTATGAATCTCCTGTGAGTCAGCTGGGAAGCATGCAGAGTGATTGCTTCCTATATGCTTTTCTTAGATTTCTTTTATGGAGATTTTAATTTCTCACCCACTGTTTTCTGACCTCCTATCCATTTTTTCCTTTCTCCTTTCTTGTGCACAGATATGAGCTTGGGGCTCTCATTCATATTAGCTGGGATTTTCCTTAGTAATAGTAGATCAGAGGCTTTTCCATTCTTTAGTGATGAGCTTACTTTAGGTAAAATCTTCTAAGAGTATAGGAGAAATTTCTTTTGGAAGTTTCAACTTACTTGGTGTGTGTCTCTTTCATAAACTTTGCTAATTTCTACTTTGAAAGTAGAGTTTCCTGTTAGATTCATGATTAGTTCTCCATAGTTCCCAGCACAATGTCTTACATATATCATGCAATCAATAAATAATTATTGAATACATGAGTACAGACATCTGTTGAGTGAACTGGTGGATGTCTACCAATAAACATCACCTATTTAGCCATACAGAGCTTCATGATGCTGTATGCGCACAACAAACTAGGTACTGCATTCATGTTGAATCTTAGCATGACTTCACTATTCAGATTCTTAGATCTGAAGAGCTCTTTTCAAACCACTCTTCTCTAATCATAATGCCACCATGATTAGAATCCTCTCAGTTCATTCTCCTATTTTTTTCATGTTTCCCCCTTATTTTTGCTGCTTAATATGGTTTCCCCACTGATGACCCAGGCTGTCCTCAGTATGACTCTTACACTTCCATGAGGTGCGGCCTCCTCAGTAGAATTGGATCCATTGTCCTTTTCTATAGGTGTCTTACTGCTCATGTTTTGCACCTTTTGCAAGCCTGGCTATGCCTCTAAGAAGAGCCCCTGTACATCACCAGTGATACTTAGTATTGCCAGCTCTACAGATGCAGATGGTGCATATTGATGAAAGATGAGTATGGAGCCTGGACCCTACAAAAGAGAGAGGCTGCTCACACCAAAGACCTGTGCATTAGACATCAGATTATAAAATACCAGTGCAGGTGATGGCTCTTCCTGTTTAGACGATGCAGAGTAAGGTAATAAATTATTTATTAAGCAAAAATTCCCCTAAAGCTAAACTGATACCCCTTCTGCAGCAACTTCTCTCTCTCAAGTTTTAAGGGCTACTCCTATACCCATAAACCTTACGTCTGTACCTTCAGCTTTAAAAAAAAAAAAAATTATATTTATTTTTGTGCGATACAGTGTGTTGTTTCAATACATGCATATACTGCACAATGATTCACTTAGGGTAGATAGCATAGTTTTGTCCCCATTAGTTCACCCCTCATCCTCCTCCCAACCCCCACCCATCCCAGCCTCTGGTAACCATTATTCTACTCTTTATATATTTTTTTAAATACATAAAGATTAATATCCTTATTGCAAAAAGAACTCTTAAAAATGAATTAGAAAAATCTAAGCACAAATTTGGTGAAGGACATAAGCAGATAAGTCACACACCCAAAGAAACACAGGTGGTTAATAATTACATTTTAAGATCTGGTTGTGGATGGGGGTGGGGCTGGTCCGGCCCCAGGATCAAGACCTCAGTCTTTGGCTGGCTGTATTGCTGGCCTGGAGGTGGGGCAGGGCAGCGCTAAAGCCCAAGGCTCCTGGCTCAGGACCCCTGAGATGCAACTTCAGCTTTGATCCTTTTTTTCCCTGGACTGCAATGTCCTCTCTATCAGGTTTTACCATGTTTCCCTGATTTTATTTTTTTCTAGCACCTATATAATGTTCTTACAGCAAATTAGGATTTAATAAATTAACTTTTCTTGGGCAGCTTTGATCCTTTTTTTCCCTGGACTGCAATGTCCTCTCTATCAGGTTTTACCATGTTTCTCTGATTTTATTTTTTTCTAGCACCTATATAATGTTCTTACAGCAAATTAGGATTTAATAAATTAACTTTTCCCAGTCATTGTGGCCTCATTTATGTTCTGCTAACAACAAAAAACAACACTTTGAGTTATTTATAAATACTTACTGAGCAAATATAAACTACTAGTCATTTTTCTAGGAACCTGTATATAGTGGTGAATAATGGACAGACATAATTGTTACCCTTACTGAATTTACATTTTAATAAAAAAATTAATAAAATTCATTATTATTTTTCCAGAATTAAATCATTTGGACAATGTCCTGGCTTCCTTGTACCTGTTGATTTCCTCCTTTAGCATTATGGTATTGCACATAGTATACTTAGCATGATCTTGTTTAACATATTTGTGATTTTGTAGATAATTTTGACTCTTCTATGCAAAGTTTCATATATAAGCATCCACTTATTCTCGTCGAGCATTCCTTTATAGTATCTTGGGTTGATCCTTAGTTTCTAGTTCAAGTGTCTTCCTGATTCCCTCATATCCTTCCTCTCCAATGTCTTCCAAGTAGTGTTACTTTTTCTTGTTCATTCCTGTTTTCATCGTGTCTGCACAATACTAACGTTCTATACAGGTCAAAGTTCTTTTGGTACCAAATAACAAAATCTTATTCCAAGTAAAATAAACAAATAGGGTTCCGGAAAAAACCCCACAATGTAATATAAGACTACAGAGAGATGATGAAGTAACCATAGGTCAATCTAGGAGAAGGATTTAGGAAAGACTTGGATCAAGGACTGGAGATATGGCAGAGACTGAATTTATTTTCTCATCTTCTCCGGAAAACCGTGGTTTTTCGTATCTGTTTCCTCTCTGTGTTTGTTTTACATTATCTTTTCTCACTTTTTCTTTCTTTCTTTCCTATCTCGTTCTCTCTCCCTCTTTCTTTTTTCTCTCTCTCTCATCTGCCTTCCCTCCCAAGAGTATCCATTCTCTTTTTAAATGCATGTGACTCAGAAGGGTAACCCTTTGCACTGACTTTCCATGGCCTCAGTTTAATTGCCCAACAGACCGGTTAAAATGCTCCTGATTCCCATTTCCAAATTGTTTGGAGAGATGAGATGACATCTGACTTCCAGCCTACTCCTGCCCATTTCAGATGAGGTGATAATTTCCAATATTTCTTAGAAATGTTGGAGAAAATAGAGTTGGGGAGGGGTACTCAGGTCGTATCTTATAAATCAATTTCCAGGGCCCAACACTGTGGATGAGTGGGTGGGTGGGCAACGCAGTCTTCTAGAGCAGGTATGCTAGGCTCGGCCAGCATTCCCACTGGTGTTTCCAGTTACTCTTTGGAGTAAAACCTTTGGGACCCCCATTCATAATTCATCAGACTGAATATACTTTTTACCTTAATACTCCAGATCCTCTCCCAACTGATACTACCAGCCTTGCACATCCTTTCCTCCCTGATTTTTAGTCTCTTCTGTCAGGTGAAGTTTGCTCACCTCTTCATAATTTTATCACTCATTGCTATGCCAGTCATGCAATCAGTACTTTAAACTTTCTCTGTTGTATCCCCTGCAAAGAACCAAAGCCCTCACTGACCACAAGGTTAAGTTTAGATTAGTCTCCCCTCATTCCCAGATTCCCATCCCAAGCTTATCGTAATTTTGTGTTGTTTTAAGTATAAATTTTAAACAATTATAATTTGAAATTACATATAATTAATGCTTAATCACAATTAAAGTGCTTGTAAATCGAGTTTGGTCATTTTGTGAATTTAAGTATTGTTTTATAAATCTACTTGTATACTACTTGAGGGCACTCCTTCAGAGAATGTAGCACAGTACCAGGCACGAAAAGTGGTAAATAAATCATATAAAGAGAAGGATTTAGAAAATATCAAACACATGTTGTGCAGGTGATAGTGTACACACTAAATTAGGGAAATAAGCTCAGGAAAATTTCCCAGAATGTTCTGTTCGTATTTGCCCTTACCAGGATTTCAATCTTTATCTTTTTAATTCAAAGTCAAATGGTATTTATACCATTTGCAATTTTAGAATAAAGAAATTCATTTCAAGAATGTTCATGAGTAATCAATAAATTGAGTCAGCTAATATGGTATTACAAAGTCTTTTTATCCATTTATTATTACTCTTCTATACCTTTCTTGGTAACCATGTGTTACTCATTAATTTGGACTCTATGTACAAGAAACTAATAAGATAGCCTGTCTTTAACAACATCCTTTATTTCAGATTTTACTTGTTTAGACTGCCAGCACAATTAATCTGAGTAAATGTCCTCACTACATCCCGCCCAGTACTCAAATCTGTCTTTGAGAGTTCCGTAGCTCCCTTGAAAGACTGATGATGTGACTCTTTCCCAGTCAGCTTCATATTCATTCCCTGCAGGAGAACATCCATGCCCTTGGTTTGAGGACAACTCACTGTGCATAGAAAAAAGCTCGGACACTCTGTGGGAATCAGTGGGAGCTATCCATTCATTATTTGGAAAAGTAAAAAAAAGTAACAGAAAATAGAAACAAAAGAAAACACCTCTTTATGGATCTTCTTTATCCTATTTTGATAAATGGTGCCACAAAATGATATGTTTGATAAAGACCCTATGAAACTATTCAGCTAATCAACAAACATTGGTAATTATTATTCCTTTAGAATAATCTAAAGTTGATAGCACAGTAACAAAATTAAAAAAAGAAATATAAAAACATAGTTCCTCAATTTCAGGACATAAGGGGTATAAGTGGAGTAGTGACAAAGATTGCATAACTAATCATGTTTTTGCTTCTGATTTAATATTACATTTAGACACTGTCACTCAGGGCAATTGTTTTTTTTCAACCTCACCACAGTGAAAAGCCCTGGACATAGCCCTTGCAAGGCACATCCTAATTTGGGTCATGCAGAAAGCACTGGCTCTGTTAGGATCTGTGTTTGGTACAAAGTGTTTGGTTCTACGACTTTGGGGAAAGGAGTCAGGAGTAAGAGCAATAATGCGCTCCAGCAGGGTTAGGAAGGGGCATGGCTCTGATAGGTAACACATCTCCACATGGAGCTGGGTCTTACTTGGTACTTGTGAATGAGGTTATTTTTTCTCCATAGTGACATCAGCTGTTCAACCCAGCATGGAATACAGCTCTAATTCATAAAAAGTGAAATGAGTAGATTCTGGGTCTCAGTGTAATTAAATCTTACTCTCTAGAGAATACAGAGCATGGCAGGGTAAGGGTGAAGGGACAGGGGAGGAGCACTTGATAACATCTTATTTGATGCTCATAACAGCACCAGGGGATAGTTGCAATTATGCTCACTTAGGTGATGAGGAAATGGATACTCAAAAGTTAATGTGTACAAGCCCACAGCAGTCAGTGTATATCATTGCAGGTATTTATTTGAATCCAGGTCTTCATGGATCCAATCAGTAGCTGTTCAAGGTGATGAGGAAATGGATACTCAAAAGTTAATGTGTACAAGCCCACAGCAGTCAGTGTATAACATTGCAGGTATTTATTTGAATCCAGGTCTTCATGGATCCAATCAGTAGCTGTTCATATCTCAATGGCAGTTGCAAATATGATGAAAAGGCAAAATCATTACTTAACCATATTAAGAATGACAGTTAGAGATTGGAGAGCAAGGATTAGTATTTGGAAATTCTTTAAGGCTTCCTGATCCTTAAATATCTTCCTATTCCCTCCTCTTGTACTGGAACAAAACTCTAAAATAAAGGCACTTAGCTAATTGTATCAATTACATCAATGGAACATATTTTATTTCCTTCTAAGGTAAAATTAAAGAATCATCATGTTGAAGGGATACCTGTACTCCCATGTTTATTGCAGCACTATTTACAATAGTGAAGAGTTGAAACCAGCCGAAATACCCATGATCAGATGAGTGGATACAGAAAATGTGGTATTTCTACACAAAGGAATATTACTCTGCTATAAAAAAGAATGAAATACTACTATCCGCAGCAATGTGGATGGACTTAGAAAAATTACATTAAGTGAAATAAGTCAGGCACAGAAAGAGAAATACCACATGTTCTCACTTATTTGTGGGAGCTAAAAATAAATACATAAAAAAACGGGGGTGGGTGGGGAAGAAGACACAATAATCACAATTCCTTGAACTTGTTAAGACAAGTGAACAGATATGATGCTGATGGAGGGGGAAGAAAAAAAAAAGTTAAAAATAAAATAAAATAAAAGTTCATATGTCCTTATTAAAATCATCTTATTCCTTAATTATTTTCAGTGCTTTTCTTTTGGAACATGGGGATTTAGATTGAGTTTAAAACACTTTCTCTGCTACACTGTCTTTTCCATCACTTCCTTTAGGGCCAATGCAGAAATGTGCCACCCAGATCCCCCTTCCAGGAAAGACTTTCTGTGAGGTCAGCAGCCAGTATTGGGGGTGGGGGTGGGGGAGTTGTATGGTGAAATTTAGAGAAATTAATTACTGTTCTCCCTTAACTTTGGGGATGCTCCCCATCCAAACATACATCAGAGAAGAGTAAGATTGTTCAAATGCAAAAGCAAAGAGTAACATATACAGTAGTCCCCCCTTATGTATGGTTTCTCTGTCTGTGGTTTCTGTTACCTGTGGTCAACCACAGTCTGAAAATATTAAATGGAAATTTCCTGAAATAAATAATTCATAAGTTTTAAACTGTGCACCATTCTGCGTAGCATGATGAAATGTCACGCTGTCCCACTCCATCCTTCTCTGAACACGAATCATCCCTTTGTCCAGTGTAACTACCTTGTATATGCTACCTGCTTAGAAGCTATCTTGGTTATTAGATTGACTGTCATGGTATTAAAGTGCTTATGTTCAACCAACCCTTATTTAACTTTATAATGGTCCCAAAGGATAGGAGTAGTGATGCTGGCATATTGTTATAATCATTCCATTTTCTTATTGATTATTGCTAATCCCTTACTGTTCCTAATTTATAAATTAAACTTTATCATAGGTATGTATGTAGAGGAAGAAGAAAAAAAAACAGCATATGTAGGATTCAGTACTATCCACAGTTTTGGAGATTCACTGGGGGTCTTGGATCATATTTCCACAGATAAGGGGGACTAGTATAGTCAATTAGGAGATTTTGAGTTTCAAAACTCAATATATTAATTTTGAGAATGAGGTAAGACTAGGGGATTTTGTGAGCCATGTGTTCAAGCTTAAACAATAGGCACAGAAGAATATCAACCAGAAGGAGTATTCTCTTCTCAGACTGAGGCCCCAAGGACCAGACAAAACCTCTGTGCAACTTGCCCTATGAGAAAAGGAGCATGAGCTGCATAAGGAATCTTTCCAAAGTCCCAATCAACCTGTCTGATAGTTGGAGAACAGTAGATTTTTCCCAGGTCCCAAGGCAGAGAAGCAAGCTTGCCAGAAGTAGAAGTTGAGAGTCCCAACGTCCTGACTCGGAAGCCTGGTGTAGATGTTGTGAGCTACAGACCAGATGCAGTTGTGCTGGGCTCAGAGGACATCATCGGGAGAAACACATTTGCATCTCCCAAAGATACTCCCCCTAAAGGGAAGATACAGACGGGTTCTTGTTTTAGCCTTGGTCATAAGGCAGTTTCCCCAGTGTCTGAAAGACAGCTTGCATTTATTACTACTTTCTGTCTTCTGTGGTTTTGGTGTTCTCTTAAGATGTTATACATTTGTTGTTCTGGAGTAATTCATCATGAATAACTCGTGTTGTAAGAGATTGGGTACCAGATTAGCTGAAGAGATATCATTAAGGAAAAAATGGAATAGGAGGAGGAGAAGAGAAGTCAGAGGAAGAGGAGGGGGAGGAAAGAGGGAGTCAGAAGAATGGGAGGGAGAGAGGGAAGGAATGGAAGGAAGGAGAGGAAAGAAAGAGAGCAAAGGAAGGAACGAGTAGAAAAAAAATGACAATTTCCCAGGGCTGCCAGTCAGAAGTGATTTCTGAAAGAATCAGAAAATTGGTTAGCATTCCTGTCTATATAGTCTGTTTTCTTACCAAATCCTTTCTTTTCATCCCTTTCCCTTAGACTGAGAAGTTCCATAGTGTTAGTTCAAAAATGCTTCTGAGACATAGGTTGGTTAAAAAAAAAATCAATACAGTTCAGTCAATCATATTTCAAGTCACTGAATAGCACATGCTCTCTCTGTAATAAAGTAGGTTATCTTCTTCTGAATGAGATGAGGCTGAAGGCTTGGGAGGAGATAAGAAACACTAATGCACTGCAGCGTTTAAACAAATCAATGCACCACTCTACCTTGAAAGCCACCAAACAAACAATTGATACTCAGCAGGCTCAGCACTTAAGGCAGCTCCAGGCAGCTACCAGGACAGCCATTTATTTCCATTCTCTGATACCTCTGGAACATCATTAGCAACGGGGAAGCATTAAGCCGACAAGTGGGATGGATTCACATCTGTCTAGGTAACTGTGAGAGCTAATCTGTCGAAAACACTGGAGAGATGCTTAGAATTTTTTTGCTGATGGCATTACCCTAACCAGATTGACTGTAAACATCATTGCCAAAGGGGTTGATTTAGTTTTGTGTCTACAGCAGCGCATCGGCGCCCCTCCTGCGCTCTGCCGGGGACCAGGTGGCGGTTGGCGGCGGCCGGCCAGGACAATCGGAGCCTGCCAGGGCGCCGATCCGCTTGCTCCCGGAGTCCGAGAGGCCGGGTTCGCCGGCCGGTGCGGCTTCTCCGAGCGAGCGGAGCCCCGGCCTCGCAGTCCGCTTTGTTGGAGTGCTGTCCGAGAGATTCTCTCGAGAGGTTTAGTGCAGGTTTAGTGGGACCGAAAGCTGCGGGCTTTGCAGAGGGGGTCCCTAGGCCGTTGCTCCCCGAAGACCGGGCGGGATGAACAGACGCAGACCACCCACAGCACTCCCTCCTCTGCTGCTTTGGCGATTTTCCCTGGTGCACACCGCGCGCTAGCTCTCTGCCTTACTCACACACTGTTTAAGCCGCTAGAAATGTGAGGTCCACGACTTCAGTCCTCACCCCTTCCTCCCATCTCACAGATCGGCAAACTGAGGCACAGGGAAGTGAAAGGATTCACTTAGAGCTGGTTAAGGGTGGACGGGAACGTAAACCAGGTTTCCTGACTCCCAGTTGAGGGCCTTTTCTTGTAGCCTGCACTGACTTTACCACTTTCTTAGCAGAGGGCAAATGTTTCCAGACAGGCCACTGCCCACCCCTGACAGACTTGAGGGCTGGGTGTGTGTGAGGTTAGAGGCAGAAGACTGGTCTCTGGATTCTCTTGTTAGGTGCTGTGAGCATCACCCGGGACAGTTTGCTGCATACCTGTCCTGTGCCTGCTCTGGGGTCTGGGGGTAAATGGAGTACATAGGCCAGCTTAGTCCCAAAGCGTGCAGTCCGTAGGGAGAGAGCGGCTGCTGTTTTGTAGCCAAGGAAGTGAGTGTAGGCATTCTCAGGTGAAATCACTTCAGGAAGGAGTCAGATTAGGGGTACTCCCTGGAGAAGGTAGAATTTGGAACTGAGCCTTGAGTAGATTTCCAGTTGGGGGAGAAGGGTTGTGGGGCACATGATTTGAGTACTCAGAACTAGGAAAGCTCAAGGCTTGTTAAATGGCTGGTCAAAGGACAGCAGAGTCAGCACCAATGAGAACTTGGCCTTTGAATGAGAAGCTCTAGGGCTACTAGAAGAGACAGCTGCTCAAACGNAAAAAAAAAATCAATACAGTTCAGTCAATCATATTTCAAGTCACTGAATAGCACATGCTCTCTCTGTAATAAAGTAGGTTATCTTCTTCTGAATGAGATGAGGCTGAAGGCTTGGGAGGAGATAAGAAACACTAATGCACTGCAGCGTTTAAACAAATCAATGCACCACTCTACCTTGAAAGCCACCAAACAAACAATTGATACTCAGCAGGCTCAGCACTTAAGGCAGCTCCAGGCAGCTACCAGGACAGCCATTTATTTCCATTCTCTGATACCTCTGGAACATCATTAGCAACGGGGAAGCATTAAGCCGACAAGTGGGATGGATTCACATCTGTCTAGGTAACTGTGAGAGCTAATCTGTCGAAAACACTGGAGAGATGCTTAGAATTTTTTTGCTGATGGCATTACCCTAACCAGATTGACTGTAAACATCATTGCCAAAGGGGTTGATTTAGTTTTGTGTCTCCATGGGAAAACTTTTATTTTTCCCTAAACAGAACTACAGGGACTGACGTTGCATTCCAAATTCAGCCCATGTTTTCCAAGTCATTTATTCTTTTCTTCATGAAAAATGAGATGCCCGCTAAAACAAACCCTACAAGATGGACCACAAAGTGACAGATAAAATAGTATCTTAATGCCTTCTTATACACATACTTAAATGTACTCTTTTCTTTTGCTTCCTCAAAAGATAAATGTTTTGGGTAAACAATCAACCAAGGTCTCTATTTTCTCTTTTGCTTTCTGAGTATGTTGTCAAGCTTGGTAAATTTTTTAGCAGCTGTCAGAGTAAATTTATTACCAAAGATGTCTGCATTCTTATATAATCCAGAAGGGAAAGCCTTGGTGATTGGTTTTATTTCAGCCTTTGAATACCAAATGTCTAGCATGATTAGGTTGCAAAAATAGAAATTGCCAACTGCCATCTATTATGTAGTAATGAATAAAAGCAAATTGTTGTAAATTGCACCACTTGAAGCTTCCCTTTTCTTCAGTCACATAAGCAAATACTATAGACAGAGAAGAGCTAGCTTTTCTGGAATTGCAGATACTTGCTTTTGAAGATTAAACATGCAGTGGATTTATTTCAGGGAAAAAGAAGATAATAGGCTCCTGTCTTAGTGCATGATTTTCTAAAAAAACAGAAACAAACAAAAAAGCACAGTTCCTAAAGTTCAATGGAAAAAAAAATAGGTAAAATAGAGAAAAGAAAAAATCATCAGTACTTACAAGGAGAATATTAATATTTGGTCACGTTGGAGTCTGGGGACAATTCCCCTGTCATTATAGAGAGTGATAGCATAGGGCATATTCAGAACATGGATTATGTATTTTACAGTAAACTGTTTCATGACCCAAATGCCTTGGTATTAAAACAGTTTTGTACATCATAACATAATGTGGGATACACACACACACACACACACACACACACACACATATATACACATACAATCATAGATTTAGAGATAGCTATTAGGTGTCTGTCTGTAAGCACTACAAAGTTATATCACAAATAGATGGGTAAACTATCTATGAAAATATCTAGTCTGGTTGTGTTCAGTGAGATAGATTTTATATGCAAACATTGATGGCAGCATCCAAGATTCAGGATAGCCATGGACGTTTACACACTCAGAAGGAAAGAATTACTAGAAGACTTAAAGTAGTTTTAAGGAAAAAAAATCTCATCAAAGGGAATATAAACTTAACTTATTGGACTTACTGCAATAAGTAGCTATGTCAAATGACCTTCAGGAAATGTCTGTTGCTTGATATAACATAGGAGTTTAGGTTGGTGTCATCAAACTATGATCTGTATAACAAATTCTGCCTGCCACTTGTTTTGGCAAGGTTTTATTGGAACCCAACAATGCCCATTATTTTACATTTTTGTCTATGGCTGCTTTCATGCTACACAAGTAGAGCTGAGTATTTGCAACAGAGACCATATTGCCCACNATTTATTTCAGGGAAAAAGAAGATAATAGGCTCCTGTCTTAGTGCATGATTTTCTAAAAAACAGAAACAAACAAAAAAGCACAGTTCCTAAAGTTCAATGGAAAAAAATAGGTAAAATAGAGAAAAGAAAAAATCATCAGTACTTACAAGGAGAATATTAATATTTGCTCACGTTGGAGTCTGGGGACAATTCCCCTGTCATTATAGAGAGTGATAGCATAGGGCATATTCAGAACATGGATTATGTATTTTACAGTAAACTGTTTCATGACGCAAATGCCTTGGTATTAAAACAATTTTGTACATCATAACATAATGTGGGATACACACACACACACACACATATATACACATACAATCATAGATTTAGAGATAGCTATTAGGTGTCTGTCTGTAAGCACTACAAAGTTATATCACAAATAGATGGGTAAACTATCTATGAAAATATCTAGTCTGGTTGTGTTCAGTGAGATAGATTTTATAAATGCAAACATTGACGGCAGCATCCAAGATTCAGGATAGCCATGGACGTTTACACACTCAGAAGGAAAGAATTACTAGAAGACTTAAAGTAGTCTTAAGGAAAAAAAAAATCTCATCAAAGGGAATATAAACTTAACTTATTGGACTTACTGCAATAAGTAGCTATGTCAAATGACCTTCAGGAAATGTCTGTTGCTTGATACAACATAGGAGTTTAGGTTGGTGTCATCAAACTATGATCTGTATAACAAATTCTGCCTGCCACTTGTTTTGGCAAGGTTTTATTGGAACCCAACGATGCCCATTATTTTATGTTTTTGTCTGTGGCTGCTTTCATGCTACACAAGTAGAGCTGAGTATTTGCAACAGAGACCATATTGCCCACAAAGCAGAACATATTTATGGTGTGGCCCCTTATAATAAAAGTATGCCAATCCTTGGTGCAGGGGGGTTTAGGAGCCAATCTGGATAGATTTAAATCCCAGCTCTGCTAGATTACCTAAGAAATGTTATTTAGTTTATTTGTGCTTCAGTTTCTTCATCTTTAAAATGGGTATAACAATGATATCAACTAAACAGAGTTACTCTAAGGATTAAATCATAATATACTTAAAGCAATAGTACAGTGGCCAGCACATAGTAAGAAAGAAATGATAGGATAAGAATTGGCATGCTGTTATAGGAATCACTACTGAAACCTGAAAAATTTCCAATGCAATCATGAGTTTCAATTATGATTATTTTCCTGAATTCCAAATTCGAAAGATTGTATGGCCCAATTTATGACATTTCATTAAGAGAAACCCATAGGATTAGTGTATCACCTAGCACATCAGTCAGTCCAGAAAGGAGAACAGAAACAAGATTAGATATTTCCACGGAGATAATTGAATACAAGAGATTGGTTAAATGATTGTCAGAAAGTTAGAAAGTGAAAAGTAAACACTATTATAACATGAATAGTAACTGCTATTTATGTCGGCCAGCTACGTCCTCCCCTACTTCCCATACTCACCATGTTAGAAAAAAATGAAGGGAAGAGGTTGGTGTTATCAGAACCAGGAATCTTGGAGGTGAGGCCACATAAAGTTCAGAAGCACAAATAGCCTTCTGGAAATGGGACTTGGACCTTTGAGGTGGGCACTATCTAGCTGGTACTGAGAACCCTGAGGGAGCATAATTGGGTTGGTCTGGGCATGCCAAAAAATACAACTAAAAACTAGAGATTGAAACCATATACGGATGCTTTTTAAATAAGCAATGTTTGCCAAAAGCAAGTTGATTCAGGTTATTATTTAACTATTCCAAGATCATGAATGAAATATCAAGAATAAAAGATTTCTTTCTAAAAGAGCCCAATGTTTGAGTTAGACTTATAGATCCAAGTTAGATATTCTTGGCTGGAATTAAGCAGAGGGGAGCCCAATTTAAGAGAGGGTGCTGGGTTGTGGAAGAAATATAGAAACAAATTGGGGTGTGGGGCTAGACGGGTGAAGGGAGATGAAAGATGAGAGGCAATATTTGCCGAAAGGAGGAAGGTGATTTTCTCCTTGCTTTGAAGAAGTTAAAGAAACTTACAAGAAAAAAAAAAAA